ACCTGCTCCACAGTAATATTCAATGAATGAAGAGCAGGAACAATTTCGTGAAATAAATAAGAAGCAGAATCATATGCTGATGCAGAGCAGTAGGGTGTTGAGTCAAATGGGACCAATTCCTCCTTCCCATCCCTGCACAGTTTTTAGATTTTGTATACAAAATTGTCACAATGTATGTAAAATGTTCAATTACAAACTGACTTAGAGTCAGAAGTATCCATTACCTTAGTATACCTTTCAAGAGAAAAAACTCATTCTCAAATCCTGCATTCATATCCTGGACAAATAACATTGAAGATTTATTGCTCCTTTTTAGTGATAGAAAGCATATGTAACTTGTCGATGAATTGGACATTAGTGCAATAAAGTGAACAAGCAGTCCACCAACAATACGAACATAAGCTTAACTGATTACATTGCAATACAGATGAAAAACAAACTTCCTGAGCCCTGAGTAAAAGCAGCCTATCAATTAGAGGGGAAAAAACATTGCATCTTCCACAAAGTATAATCACCAAATTCATCTATACGTAAACTATTTTTTGAGAAGAAAATATACGTAAACTATTAATAATTCAACCTACCAAGTTAAAATCATCTTTCAAAATTTTTGAAACCCTACGTAAGGCTTCTCTTGGGCAGTATTCCCATGCTTCACCCGGTTTTAGATGCATATCGGCCAAAACCATCTCCTCTTGTTCTACCCTGTTGAGGAAAATATTGGTATTAAATAAAATAACACATTACTAAAAATGCAACATTTGAGATGCTGTTACTAAAATGAACATATTGTTACTCAGATAGAAAGATATACTTGGAAACCTCATGCAGTTTAAAAGTACCATGGAATTTTCCGTTTAGTCGATAAATCAGGCATGAGTCTGATCTCACCCACTCCAGTCAAATTAGTCTCATCAGCCGGACCATCAACTAATGAAGTCATTCCCATAGAAGCAAAAGTCAAACCAATACCATTTTTTATAACAACATCATTGAATCGCTTTTTGGGAACAACCTGAAACGGTGATGGACAATGAATGCAGCAAATGAAATCAAAATCTATGCAATTTCAAGTCACCTATTAAAATTAGAAACAGTTTAGGATGTTAATTTCCCCATAGGAATCTATGATCTTGATTATAAGAGAATATAAGTTAAGAAAAAGTAACAGCAACTGGTTTCTTACAATCATTTATTCAACAGATTTCTACTAGTTCCACCATGGGTAAAGCATAAAAAGGCATTGTTGTATGTCTGGTATGATAGTGTGCTATGCAACAGTTCTCTTCAAAATGCATATCATGAGATGAGTGAACCATAACTAGCAAGAAGTTTCACAAAGTGGTATTCCCACTATATCTAAAATGAGCAACTTCTCTTTCATTTTTCTCATAAATGAAACTATGAATCTTGTTTTTTTTTGGTTAAGAAAGCAATTTGTTGAGAGAATCTAGGACAATTTCTGTTTTGGCCGGGGACCGATGGTCACCTCAGGCCCACATGTAGCTTCTGACCTGTATCCTTTTCACAACTGTCACTTTCTTACAACTGGAAGTACTACACACACCCACCCACCCACACACAACACACCCACCACTCACGCGCTCGCGCACAGAGACACACACACACACACACACACACACACATACACACATGGTCACTCTCTCTAATGAGAATATACCATAGGGAAGTACTATTGTATATTTTAACCAAAAGAAAATAGAACTTACACGGCATCTCTGTTGTCCTGAAGTATCACCCCACATAACACGAACAAGTGAGACATCATTTTCTGAGTCATTACTGTTCACCTTCGTGAAGTCCAGTGATACATAATTATTTGAACCAGAAGATTTTACAGCATAATTAATCTTGTAAAACTGAATCGCATTTTGTGAAAATATGTCTTTAGCAGCCTCAATAGCTTCAGGGACTGAGAGATCACCGTCAGTGCAAGCATCCCGTAGGACAGAGAAAACAACTTCACGTGCTTTTTTTGCACCTGTCAAACATATAGATAAAATAAAAACGTTAACTATGTTGATAAAATCTCAAAGTGACCTCTAACTCAAATATATAGATAAAATAAAAACATCTGAAGTCAATTTGGATTCTATATCTTGTTGTAAGTGTGTAAAATAGTTATTAATAAAGAGTCAGAGGTACTTTCACCAACATATACATGTTGAGTTTGATAAAACATACCTACTTTAACTTCTTGTATCATCCTAGTCATGTTTTAATAACACATATTTTAATTTGACAGTACATTTCCTTTGCAAAACCTAGTGCTAATCCAACATACTTATACAAACAGATTGAGACAACTAGTGCTCCTCTGCCACAGAAGGAAAAAAAGATATCTATTCTTCAGACAACAAGGTCTATTTTCATCATTGTGGTTGTGGATAACTAACAGACATGCATTATTATTGTATACAAAAATTCACTTCATAATTTAGCAGACGTCAAACATATGTTTAAAAATTCTAGTACCATGTACTAATGCAATAAACATCTATTGCATGAACAAATTTTCAACACTATAAAAAAAAAAAAAACAAATACAATATTAAGTAGATATAGTAACAAACCTAAGTAGAAAGTTTCAGGAAATGCGTAGCCGTCAGTGCTAAACATCACCTGCAAATCGATTCATGCTCAACAGTCAGGTGTATTACTAATTCAGATTTAGTAGGGGAAAGAACAAACATGAGCATGGGCATGCATGCACACAAAAGGAAACATCTCTCCATTTTTTACACAGTGCCCAGACCATTATGGAGACATCTTTTAATTATTCTACAACTCTACCTACTATACCTCTGCATAATTTTCATATAGCTAAGAGGGATGAATCAAACATGACATCAGATAGCTTCATGGCCAGGTCTAGGAAGAATAATAGAATACCCTGATCACTAAACTGCTTCAAGCAGGTAGTTTAGTAGAATACTATGGACTGCCTAAATCATGCTTAATTTTCTATACAGAGGAAAAATCTCTCTGTAGGTGTTCCTAGAACTTAGAATGCATAGTTTCTTCATTTGTTATCAGCTTAAATTTCACATGCCGTACCTTCTTAATTGGAGCTAGCTCTAAAAGTTCCTTGACAGAAGATATCATCCCATGGACACTGAGCTTAGGGACAGCCAACCCAAAGTCAAGGTACACCTGTAAGGGAAAGTGTTTATCAACCGTACGAACTTGCAAGGGTATTTCCAATGTGCAAAATAATGTAATTCACGGAGAGTTAGAAAACCTTACCTGGGGATAAATGGAGGCTAGGTATGATGCTTCTTTTGAAAATGGGTAGGATGCATGTAAAAGAACTATATGGCATTTAGAAAATCTCTTGTCCTCAAGAACATCCCGAAGATGAAGAGGATTGGATAGCCGCATATCCAAATCTTTATCACCAAAACTAGTTACATGTGGTTAATTATTAGTACACAGACATCATAATTTTGAAAAATCAAACATATTATCATACAGATTGAAGCACTTTCCTACTCTAATTGAAAGTAGGCCGGGAATAATAACTTAAAATCCAAGAATCTGTTTGGTGCTTCCTAGAAATGGATCAGCCTCCTGGACATTACATTATTTCTACAGAAATCAACATTACCAGGTTTCTATAATCAATTTAATCTCCTGAAATGCAAGGATTAGTCAGCTAATCTTCAGACATATTTCTTCAACTAGTGACAGAGAATTTATTAGTTATCATTTCCTTTTGATAAGTCTCAGCAATCAAACAAAGTAGAATGCAAAAACATTTTGATAATCTCAAAATTACGATTACCCCGTATGTATCTGCATGGGCAAGTCAAAAAGCAGAGCAACCTCCAAACTACGAGTGAAGATAAAATCGATAAAACTTTTATTTGATATGCGAACGGGCTGTGCAGCTGGAAACATAGATTAATCTAATCAGAATACATGGGTGTAAACATAGCAAAAAACCCATCAAAATGCAGTACGCACCACGTAACACATCAGCAAGACCTTCCTCAGCATCTTCCCTAGTAACATTTGTATTAATTTCCAGGCCACTGCGATATGCAGCTATACTTTTCAAGCCAAAAATCTTATTGCCAACTGTAGCACAGTCGATAAGGAATTCAACTAAATCAGGAAGTTAACAGTTTTACACCAATACATGACAAAGTAATGCAAACACCATAGCTATTGAAAAGGATATGATTTCAATTTTCCAACAAACTTTTCGGTGAACAAATCCAGTGTCCAAGACGATCCACTGGGCAATTCCTAAAACAAACATAAAGTGACAAGAAAATTAATGATATGTGTTTGTTGCTCAGTAACTCAAACAAATCGATGAGAAACTGAAAACATTGATAAATTCGAAAAAGTTCATTAGATCTTTGACAATGTTAATGTCCAAATATAATTCCAGCAACTGAATTTTCGAGTAAGCGATTCGAATCACATACAGGACATAACATAACAAAACAAAACATAAAATTCAAAAATTTTACAAACAATGCAAATGTTGTCCCACTCACTTCATTGAGAATTTCCTCAGCCAAATACTCAATTCTCAAAATCCGGCCAACAACCGGTGCGAAATTTTTATGCCAATCTATGTCGAGCTTCTTGTCAAACCTCAACCCATCATCAATGAGAATGACAGAGATTCTTGCAGCTGTGAAGCACGCCAAGCTAATTGCCTGCAATCCGGCGAGTCTCCGGTGTTCTTCTACTCCATGCAAGGTTTTTTCCGATCCGTAGAGCTCGGCGACATCCTTCAAATTCCTCTGCAAGTCATCGATACCAAAACATCACAAAAAACACAGCGTTTTGGCAACATAGAAACATCAGTCAGATAGATTACAGTCACAATCGACAGCGATAACCTGTTGACTTGAGATTGAATGCTAAAGGCGTAAGATAGCAGCGGAGTTGAGAGTTGAGGGAGTGGTTAATACGCACCTTGAAGGAGAGGGAATGGGGTGCGTAGGATAAGGCGTCGCCGGTGGCTTCGGAGAAGCAGCTGATGAAGGGGATGGTGGAGTCGGCGGCGACGATGTTGTGGGCGTGGGCGTCGACGAGCTCCGCTTCCTCCACCGCCGTTTTCAGCTCCGTCAAATCCATGAGGCGAGTCGTTGGTCAAATCAAATGAAAATTTGTGAGAGCGTTGAACCGGGAAAAATGTGGCGTCGTCATCCTTTTATAAAATTAAACAATATAACGGAAGACTTCTACCAGAAATGATATTACAACAACGGACCCTGTTTTTTGTCTCCATTCAATGTTCCTCGGGATATGTGTATTTGAACCGTCCAAAACGGTCATTTCCTTTTTTTATTCATTTGTAGAGTACTGTAATTAGGCCTGTCAATTCCTGACACGACCCAATAATTCGATATGACACGACACGAAATTAACAGGTATTTTGGTCGACACGATAACGAATCGGGTCATTATCAAGTAACCTGAAAAGCATCTGTTAAGATAACGGGTTGGTTCGGTATACACTTGGTAATACGATACATGATAAGAAAAATATTAATTTTATAATTTTAAAAAATATTATAATAATTATATATATTAATTTAACAATTTTATACCCTAAAAACTATAATTATATATATATATATATATATATATATATTAAATATTAAAAATTGGTAACCATTGGATCGGCTTAAATATACATATCATTCAATTTCTTAAGTGTTATACGTACAAAATAAATAAATTTAAATCTACTTAATAAATAAATAAATAAATAAATAAATATATATACACACACCATTGAACTTGATGGGATACGAATTCTACAAAACTAATTTTAACGATTCAACCTTCAAACTTGTTTGTATATGCTTCGATATTGCATCAGCAAAAAATGGCAAAAAACAAACATTCAGAGATCAACGGGACAAAAATTTTCGACAGTTATCAACGAAAAATCACGATTTAACAGTTATTTTAACTCTGATTTTGATGATTTTTTACAGCTACACTCTTTGAACCTATATGAATACAATGAATGAACTCAATCTTTAATTTAAAATATTTACACTAATGGATACCACAAAATCTTATGTTATACGTAATGAAAGTATGAATAAACTTTTAAGTGTTAGTGAATCTATTGTTTTAATGGGATACGCATTCTACAAAACTAGTTTCAACAATCCAACCATTAAACATGTTTGTATATACTTCGAGATCGCATATGCCAATAAATGCAAAAAAAAAACCTTCAAAGATCAAATAACAGGACAAAACTTTTCGACGGTTATAAACGAAAAATCACGATTTAACGGTTATTTTAACTCCGATTTTGATGATTTTTTAGAGCTACACTCCTTGATTCTATATGAATACAATGAATGAATTCGATCTTCAATTTAAAATATTTAAACTAGTGGATATCACAAAATCTTATGTTATAATTAATGACGGTATAAATAAACTTTAAGTGTTAGTGAATCTATCGTTTTGATGGGATACGCTTTCTACAAAACTAATTTCAACGATCCAACCGTCAACCTTATTTGTATATGTTTCAAGATCGCATACGCCAAAAATTGCAAAAAATAAACATTCAGAGATCAAGTAACGGGACAAAACTTTTCGACAGTTATCAACGAAAAATCAAGATTTAACAGTTATTTTAACTCCAATTTTCATGATTTTTTACAGTTACACTCCTTGACCTTATATGAATACAATGAATGAATTCGGTCGTCAATTTAAAATATTTACATTAGCACAAAATTTTATGTTATACTTAATCGAAGTATGAATAAACTTTTAAGTGTTAGTGAATCTATCGTTTTGATGGGATACGCATTCTACGAAACTAATTTCAATGATCAAATCGTCAAACTTGTTTATATATGCTTCAAGATCGCATACGCCAAAATTGCAAAAAACAAATATTCATAGATCAAGTAACAGGACAAAACTTTTTTACGGTTATAAAAAAAAATCACGATTTAACGGTTATTTTAACTCCGATTTTGATGATTTTTAACAATTACACTCATTGACCCTGTATGTCACAGCCCGTCCCGGAATTATTAATTCCGAGGACGTGAGATGACCAATGTGACCTTAAACGGGATTAAGGTGTGTAAATGTATGACATTTGTTTTACTTTAAGATCCTAAACTAGGGTTAGATTTATATTTGTATGTGTTAATTTGTGCTTGGACTTAGGTAGGGCCTCCTACCCTGAATTCCCTCCCTAAAACCCGTAACCTTTCTTCTCTCTTCTTCTTTCATTCCAGACTCTCTCTCTCTTATTCTTTTCTGAAAACTCTCTCATTCTCTCTCTTACTCTCGAACTCACGGCAACCACCAAGAACCACCACAATCTTGTACCAACGTTCCATTTAAGACCACCATCGTGATCCTGGGGACTTCACGAGCACGGGGATACAATTTCAGGTGAGTTTCACTTCGAAAACCCTAGTTCTAAAAAGTTGCCGTGAGATGAACACTGTTCATGAGCTTTGAATTGGTTACGTTTTTAGGCTAAAACAAGATCACAGCGAGTTTAGTAAGGTCCCAAGGAAGCTCGGAGTGCTTCGTTGGAAGTTTTTGGACGTAAGAACACGGAGATCGACAAGTTCAAAGTTTGGCCGGAACTTTCGAGGCATTTTCCGGCGAATCACCGGCGAGTTAGGAGTCGAGGTAGGTATCAATCTCTTCGTCTCGTCAAGTACTACAACTTTCCTTTTTGTTTCACTCAATTTCGTTGAGTATTGAAGAAGTTATACCCATTTGAAAATACCCAGTTTCCGGCGACCTCCGAGGCCTTTCCGAGGCAGTTTCCGGCCAAACCACGGCGAACTAGGTGTTGCGTAAGGTACCATTCTCTTTGTCTCTTCAAGGGCTACAACTTTCGTTTTTGAATCACTTGATTTCGTTGAGAAATGACAAAGTTATGGCAATTTGAAAAACCGCCCGGAAAACAGCCGCCGGAAAAAACCAGTCCGGCGACGACCAAGGAAGAAGATGGTGCTACAGTAAAATAAAAAATAAAAATAAAATTATTTTAAAAATATGTCGACGTCCGTGACGTCGAGTAGATCACTGTGGTATATTCATATACCCAATTTGAGCACCGTATGAGAAAGTTATTAAGGATTGTTGGTTAGGTGTTCGAATAACGTTTTATAGTTTTGGTGAAAATGTGAATTGATGATCCGACCGTTGGATCGTCACCAAAATTTGATACGTTGTAATACGTAATATTTGAGGATTTATTGGAACTTACGGATTGGGAATCCGAGTTAGGGATCTTCCGGAATTGGAATTGTAAGTCCATAATATAAAATGTTAACCGTCACTTAGTTTTGGAAATTGACGGAGATCCGACCGTTGGATGGTAATGAAATTTTAGGATGTTGTCCTAGAGGTATAATGTGGACCTCTGGAAGTTATGGATTTAAAATCTGAGTGGCAGATCTTCCGGATCGATCAACGTAGTGACGTATTTTTATATAAGTTATGTATTCTATCGATATGAATTCTGAGCCTGGATTTGATTACTAATTCTAGGCGGCGATCGTCATGACGCCTTGGCGTATTGTGCTAGGGAGTTGTAGGGCGAACTCCAGGTGAGTGGGCAGTTTTGTTTTCCGTATATATATATACTTGACGTTTCCCAGAAATTGAATTGAAAATGAAAATATGTTTAAAATGAAATGCATATGAGTTATGTGGAAAAACGGGAAGTGAAATACCATGCATAGAATTGATATGAAAAAGTATATAGAAATGTGAGTTGAAATGCCCATGCATGAATTAATATATGATGCATATGTATGAAATTGGGTGCGGTGGACGCACAGGTAAGAATTGATTTATGATGCATATGTATGAAATGGTGCGGTGGACGCACAAATGAGTATTTAATTACTGTTATGATGATGATGATATATATTGAGCTCAAATCCTGCACCATGGTTTAGTGCTTATAGTATTCACCGCATCGCACGCTCGCCTTGGATCCAAGTAGATGCTAGTCGTACAGTCCACGCGGAGTGGGTACGACAGACCAGTCGCGAGAGTGTTAGTGAGATTCCGACTGGTGGGTGACCTTAGATTATGTGCACAGATGATTTATGAGAAGCACTAGAGCGTAACTTGTGTGCAGAAGGCCGGACGGGTCACAGAGGTGACTCCGGTAGAGTGATAATGATAGATTTTGAGCTCTAGGTTCAACCGTACAGGGCTATTAGAGGGCCTACGGTTGATTACTTTCTTGCACCTTGATATGATTATGTTGATGCATTCATACCTTATTACTGTTGAGATGATGTGGCATGGCATAATTAATATGAGAAATGTTGAGATGATGTGGCATGGCATAATTGTTATGAAAATGTTGAGTTAACGACTTGAAGTCTTGAGAATATATATGTATATTTATATTTTACATTTTCTGGGGAAATATACAGGTTTTACGGAGAGGGGTTACAACGTTTTGAAAAATGTTTGGATTTGGAAAAGAATTGTTTTACTGACCCACTCAATTTTGGTTTTGCGCCCCTCCAGGTTCAGGAATCACAAAGGTGTGGTGACTACGAGGAATTCGACGGTGTTCTGACAGATTGGACAAAATTAGGACTCACCTTCGGGTGTATCAACTTATAAATTGTATAATTAAAGCTTCCGTACTGTGCAAATGGTTACGTCACTCTCACGTGACGGCCAGCATGCCCTCCTTCGGGACGGGGTGTGTCACTGTACGAATACAATGAATTAACTCGATCTTCAATTTAAAATATTTACACTAGTGGATATCACAAAATCTTATGTTATACTTCATGAATGTATGAATAAACTCTTAAGTGTTAGTGAATCTTTTGTTTTGATGGGATACGCACTCTACGAAACTAGTTTCAACGATCCAACCGTCAAAGATGTTTTTATATAGATCGAGATTGCATACGCCAAAAATTGCAAAAAGAAAACATTCAGAGATCAAGTAACGGGACAAAACGTTTCGATGGTTATCAACGAAAAATCATGATTTAGCAGTTATTTTAACTTCGATTTTGATGATTTTTTAGAACTACACTCCTTGACTCTATATGAATACAATGAATGAATTCGATCTTCAATTTAAAATATTTAAACTAGTGGATATCACAAAATCTTATGTTATAATTAATGACAGTATAAATAAACTTTAAGTGTTAGTGAATCTATCGTTTTGATGGGATACGCTTTC